GGAAGGGACAGATAACACTAAAGGCCACTCAAAGGGTCATATGGAAACCTACCACAGAAGCAGCTTCTGAAAATATATACATATATGAAAGAAATCTAAATGGAATCACCAAATAACAGAGGAGATAAAGCCCCAACCACCCATGGAAACCCCCAAATAACTCAGGCTGTTGCCAAATGTATTAGTCAGGGTTCTCTAGAGGAACAGAAGTGATAGAGTGTGTGTGTGTGTGTGTGTGTAAGGGATTTATTAAAATGGCTACAGTCTAGCTCATCCAATAATGGCTGTCTACTAATAGAAAGCACAAGAATCCAAGGGTTGTTCAGTCCATGAGGCTGGATGTCTCGGTTGATCTTCAATATGTGCCAGAATCCAGAAGTAGGTTCTAATGCCAATGAAGGAACGGACTCGCCAGTGAGAACTAAAGCAAGCAAGGAGCAAGTGTTTCCTTCTGCCACATCCTTTATACAGGCTGCCATGGGAAGGTGTGGTCCAGATTTAGGTGGCTCTGCCTATCTCAAAAGATCCAGAGTAAAGGTGGGACATCCTATTTCAAATGATTGCATTTAAGAAAAATCCCTCCCAGGTGTACCCAGCCACTTGGATTTTAGTTCATTCCAGATGCAGTCGTGTTGACAAGCAAGAATTCGATCACAAGTCTGTCCCCTCCTAACCCTGTCATCCCTCTCTTAGCGTGTTGGCTTAAGGGCATCAGAAACCCAAAGTGGCCAGTGGGAAGTCTGAGCTTCCTTCCAGTTCCCTGGGATGTTTGTTGTATCTCTTGGCAGGGGCACGCCCTCTCTGGAAGCAGAACTTAAGGTCGTGGGAACAGGAAGCCAGATGACACCAAGGCTATTGGTTGCTCTCCACAAACAGAGGGTAAGGCCCTATTGAGAGGAAGAGGTGGACGCCTCGAGCTCCCAGCTCGATCCAAGAAGACGCTGACAACCACTTGCAAAAGAAAAATTAGTTTTCTCTGATAGAATTCTGATGGAATCTCACTGGATATATATATAAACCATACCCAAGGGCAGACCACGTGCCCAGCAGTAGAAGGCCAACACAAAACAAACTTAATGGTATTTGGGGAGATATTTTTGTCTTGTATTGCTTTATTTTGGGCTTTTCTTAAATTTCTTACTGGTCTTTTGCTTGTATAGTATGATTTCTGATTTTGTCTTTTTATGGTGTTTATTTGTGTGTGTGTGTGTGTGTGTGTGTGTGTGTGTGTGTGTGTGTATGTGTCCATTTAAATGTGCCTGAGATAAGCTAGCTGTTGATTTACATGGAGAGGAAATATATATATACATATATATATATATATATATATATATATATATATATATATATATGTATATATATATAATGTATGTTTCAGAAGAATAAAAAATGATAAATCCCTATTAATATCGATTCCTTTCTCAATTGTATATGGCCAGTCATTCTGAAAGTACTAATATATGGCAAACATGATAAAGTATAAATCAGATTACAGGGAACACTGTTTCCTGCACTAAAAATATAAACTATGGGTGCTGGGGTCACAGCTCAGTCACTAAAGTCCTTGCCATCCAAACATAAGGACCCAGCACCCACACAAAAAGCCAGACACTCAGTCTGTGCTGTAACCCATCACTGGAGAGCTGGAAGCAGGAGGGTCACAGGAGCTCTTGCTGGCTGGCCATGTTCAGGAAGAGCCCCTGCTTCAAAACCTAAGGTGGAGCTGGGCAGTCATGGCACGTGCCTTTAATCCCAGCACTTGGGAGGCAAAGGCAGGTGAATCTTTATGAGTTCAAGGCCAGCCTGGTCTATAAAGGGAATTCCAGGACAGCCGGAACTACACACACGGAAACCCTATCTCAAAAAACCAAAAAAGAAAACTAAGGATGTGTACATATGCACACACACACACAAATACAGACTGTCTGGGTTAGACTTTGGGACTTGTGTGTGTATGTGTGTTTATGTTTACGTATATGTAGCTTCTTTTGTATGTTTTGGTTACAGTTTTTCTTTGCTTCTTTGTTTAGATGGGTTGGTTTTATGAAACACATCACTGCATAGCCCAAGCGGGCCTTGAACTTTTTGGAAGCCCTTCTGCCCAAGTGTGGAGTTACAAGCATGCACCACTTTGCCTGGCTTATTTGTGTTTTGTTTTGTTTTTTTCTTTTTTAATCTTTGTAAAAAAAACATTGCTGTCATAAGCAAGCTGCTGGAACACAATCCACATGTGACTTACCAATGTTTCCCCAGGAATGAACTTTCCTACAAAATTATGTTCCTATTAGAATCACAAAATCCCCCCAAAATTCTTCACCCTAAAGAGTTTTAAAGTGGCCTATTGTTCTTGGTTTAAGTGGCAAGATACCAAGAAAGCACACAGGCCTTTAATGCCAGGAAGTGACATGGCTGAGTGAAGAACGGTATCTAAGGCAGAGGAGACAGGGACTAAGCAACAATTCAACTGAGACCCTCGAGGTGAGGACTCAGAGGCTCTCAGTCTGAGGATTCATGGAAACAGGATTGGCTGAGGAGTTGGCGAGGTGAGGTTGGCTGTGGCTTGCTCTGCTTCTCCGATCTTTCAGCTTTCACTCCAACATCTGACTCTGGGTTTTGTTTTTGTTTTTGTTTATTAATAAGACTGTTTAGCAATTTGTGTTACTCTACCAGCCACTTTCCCAAATCGGTATCATATCTAAGTGCATTCTAAATACTTATCCTTATACCCACATATAAATGCAGCTCTCACACGCCATCAAATAAGCTTCTTTTTGCAGCAGAGACCCTTCCAGAAATCCACAGTTGGTCAAACCGTAGAGAACAGCTGACCATGAGGTATCCAACAAATGGATACATCTACGACACAAGCCCTACACCTACGGCTCAAGGAACAGCAAGAAAACTGCAGGAGAAAGCTTGTCAGAACCAGAGAACCTGAACATCTGCTGTGAGATAGTGTCTTCTGTACATGACCACGACATCTCAACAATATGGTCACTTAAAGAAGACCTGCACACAATGGCATCTGTTGACCTGCCAACATGGAAAGGAATGTCACAATGTCCCACTCCTAGAAGAGAGACTCCAAGCAATTTGTAGATGCTGAGAAAGGGACAATCAGTCTTCTCTAGGGACAAGCTCCCTAATAGATTGCCCAATCTCAGTGGTCTGTCCTAAACACTGAATGCCATCAGGTTATATATTTATATATGTGCAATAATAATTAAAGAAGAGGCTAAATATTTGAGAGGGAGTCGTGGAGATATGGCAAGAGTTGGAGCGGAGAGGGCGGAGTGTTAGTGATGCAAATTCAGTATTCGTGGATGAAATTCTAAAAAAAAATTTAATTTAAAAAAGAAAATGTCAAGCTGTGACATTCTTTCAATTTTAGCATGTCTCTTATGTCTCTTGGTATAAACCATATCAAGCTAGAAAGAGAACTGTAGATCTTAGAATTGGTGAAACGTTATATAATGAGTCTGTGCTCTTCAGTAGGAAAACAATATCATACATGAGGACAAAACCATGCCCGCAGGCCATTATTCAGCATATTGTCTATCTCATGGTATGTTTTTATTAAATCCATAAATAAGTAAATGGCCAGCTACACATGCTGCAATTTTGTGATTAAATTACATCTTATATTAAAAAGTGTGGTTCTCACTAACATAGCCAAAGTTCTTTGAACTCAGAAAGTAGCCTACATTGTATATAGTAAAAGATAAAAAATAAATAAATAAATTTATGCAGCCACTCTCTCAACACACAGCTTCCTCTTCCATTTCTCAATATTTGCTTGTTGTATCATTAAATTTATCCCATAAATGTGGTGATATTTTATTTGTACTCTAATAAATAAAACTTATCTAGGGATCAGAGGATAGAGCCAGCCACTAGATTAGACACAGAGGCCAGACAGTGGTGGAACATACCCCTAATCCTCTGGATCTCTGTGAGTTCAAGGCTACACTGGGGACAGAGTCAGGCATGGTGACACACACCTTTAATCCCAGCACTTGAGATCTCATGTCTTTGCTTGGGAAGGACACGGGCCTTTAATCCCAGGAAATAATGGCAGGAAGCAGAAAAGTATATAAGGCATGAGGACCAGGAACTAGAGGCTTTTAAGCAATTCAACTAAGACCCTCAGGGGTGAGGACTCAGAGACTTTCAGTCTGAGGATTTGTGGAAACATGATCAGCGGAGGAGTTGATGAGGTGAATTGGCTATGGCTTATTCTGTTTCTCTGATCTTTCAGTTTTCACTCCAATATCTGGCTCTAGGTTTTTTTTTAATTAATAAGTCCTCCTAAGATTCATGTTATGCATAAACTTATACAATTTCATTATGGAAAAGAGCTACAGCAGTCATGTGGCTCAAATGTCAATTAATTCCTATAAACATGCACTGTCTACACGAAGAAAAGGTTATGGTAAGCAAATCCCCACTTTGCCTCTCTACTGTCAAATTCTGATTGGTTGGTAATGATTACTCTTTTGTGGAGTTTATGTTTATCATGCATTCCATGTTGTCTGTGCTGGAAAGAGAGCTGGGGCTATCTCTAGCTCAGTACAGAACACTTGACTTGCATGCACAATGCCCTGTGACTTTCTCGATCAGTGCCCTAGGTTCAATCCCTACTACCACCAGGAGGAGAGGGAGGGAGGGCAAGGAGGAGGAGAAGGTAAGGAGAAGCGTGAAATTGCTCTTGTGTCCATTTTTTATAAATTACATGCATTTTCCTAATTATCTGGGTATGTTTTACCTGGGAAGTTACTGCTAAATATTACCACAGCCCCCACAGAATTCTCCACGGAAACCAAAAGGGAGTAGAAATGCCTTTAGCACAGAACATTATAACTTCTGGGAAGTAAATATAATTCTGATGCAAACCCAGCTCTCACTGAAGCCCTCATAAATGTGTTCTTGCTTTAACTACCATGCAGGTATGAACGGCAGTTTAACAGGTGATGACGTCAGTCAACAGGTGATGACGTCAGTCAGGGTAGCAGCGGAAGTTGTGTGTTTGGGCGCTTTCTGCAACGGTACATCAAATGCTTCATGGTAGTTGTTTATTTTTCCTATTTTTCATTCTGTAAACTATGGCCTTAGCTGCTCTAAAGCTGTAACAGGAGCAGTGTCCTTCGGACGCAATGAGAACAGCACCTGGGGGCTGGAGGGACAGCTCAGCCGTTAAAGGCTAGGCCCACAACCAAAAATATAAGAGAATAGCACCTAGGAAGTTGACTGATGGTTTAGTAAGATTCCAGGATACTGGACTGCTCTACTTACTGTAACTTAGGCAAAGAAGCATTTTTAAAGTTCTTCAGGACGCTTCACTTAAAGGAAAGATGACAGGTATAGCAAAGTAAATGTGGCTGCTCAGTTGCCTCCCAGCTAGGTGTGAGACAGCGCTTTGCCCTCTTAAGTCAAAGCAAATGATGTTACAGAGTCGCTTCCCGATTTGCAGCTCGATCCAGAAGGTCGATGCTAACTGAGAAGTCTCCGGAATTGGATCAAATTTTCAATTCAAATGAAGAGAGCAACTACGCATCTCATGCCTCATAGATCTCCAAATTTAACTCGAAGCCTGCTCCCTCCTTCCAGATGGCTTATGTAGTGGGAGTGGGGGACAGAATTAGCAAGCAAACCCAGAGAGACACAGTTCTCTGCGCCCAACGCTGTCTACCTCGCTGCCAGCTTTTACTGAATCTGGTGTTACCAAGGAGAACAGCACAGGTAAGCACTGTTTTAAGTGTGCAGAAGACTTTAAACCCTAGACTAGACTAGAATTTCCCCTCAAAAACAAAAACATTAGGTATACAGACAAAAAGAAAAGAAAGTGAGAAGGTATCACCCAGGAATATCTAGGATCCCCTCCTCTCTGTGCCATTTTAGTATTTGTCTCCTCTGAGATAGGGATGCGATGTGGCTCCGGGACAGAGCACCTGCATACCAACCAACCGGAAGGCTCTCAGTTGCATCCCCGATGCTACAATCCACCAGAACATTTGTGTCGGTTCTTAGGAAAGCATTAGCTCAAGTCCTTGGGCTTTCACAGATGGCAAATCACTTGTCCTTCGCCCTCAACGTCTCTGGGGACAAAGTTTGCTAAACCAGATCCAAAAGGTATAAAAGAAAAGAGAGAAAGAAAGAACATGGGGACTAAGACGCTGACTTTTCCCTCTTCAAATCTCCAAACATTTTAAGATCGAAAACCTTTTACAATATTTCTGCCTGCTTTTCTGTTATGATTCCTGAGCCTTAGGGTCAAGAGTAGTTCGGTTTTTGTTTTGTTTTGATTTTTGGTTTTTTTGAGACAGTTTCTCCACGTAGCCCTGGCTGTCCTGGAACTCACTCTGTAAACCAGGCTGGTCTCGAACTCAGATCTGCCTGCCTCTCCCCCTCCTGAGTGCTGGGATTAAAGGCGTGTGCCACCACCACCCTGTACAAGAGTAGTATGTAAGAGCCGGAACAGGAAGTTTGCTGTGAGAATTCTCCTAGAAATGTCGTAGACGCAAAGCCCACCAAGTCTCATCAACATGGCTCCTAAACAAGTCTTGAACCTAGGAATACAATTTCCTTCTTCATAGATGACGAAAATGCATTTTAGACCCTCCCCACAGCTCCAACAGTCTTTCTCTCTTTCCTTTGCTCCACTCCTAAGCCAGCCTGTATCCCAACTCAGGATCTTCCTTCTACAGCATCTGGAGTGCTGAGCTTGAGGGCGTGCCCCCACATCCAGCTCTTTTCCCTCTGCATACTTCTCTTTGACCTCAGAACACTATGCCTTATGAATAATGTGGATAACAAGAAGGGTGAAAAATACATCACCCATTCACAAGTGTGCGTGTTGCAACTGAAGAATCCATACACATCTGGTTGTGTGCAAGTCAGTACAACTACTGTGGAAATGTGTCTCACTGAAACAATAATGCTGAACAGACGCACACTCCATGACCCCGAATTCTGCATTTAGATATACATTCAACAGAAGACAAATATGAGAGTGTTCATAATGACATAATTCATAATAGACAAAACTTGGAAACAATCCAAACGTCTACCAAGAGTAGAATGGACAAAGTACTCATATAATGGAATGCCATTGAAATTTTGAAATAAAGGAAATTATGGCTGCACAGAATGTGAATGACTCTCACAGCTGTAATATTGAACAAAAGAAGCAAATATTGAACAAAACAGTGGGCTAAAAAGAGAGATGCTTCAAACACTGAGTATATGCTTTAAAAAAAAAAGAAGAAAAGAGCAGTCCATAGCAACTTGCAGAAGTTAAATAACTAAATCAAAACCATAAAGGAAGTTTCTAGGCTGCAGATAATGGAGTGTATTCTTGATAATGGAGTCTGGTTTTTGAGACAGGGTTTCTCTCTGTAGCCCAGGCTATCTTGGAACTCATTCTGTACACCAGGCTGGCCTCAAACTGAGGGATATGCCTGCCTCTGCCTCCCGAGAGCTGGGACTAAAGCCATGCGCCACCACCACCAGGCTATGGAGTATATTCTTAAACTAGAGACTGGTTATCTCAATGTGTTCAAACTGCACAATTCACAGAATTTAAAATCAGTACATGTTGATATACTCACGAGACTATGGAGGCCCATAAACTACCATCTGAAGAGTAAAGAATCAGGACAACCACAAAGGGGTTGGGGAAGGAGCAGAAGATGCTGGTGTAAATCCCAGAATCCAACGGTCTAAATCTAGATTCTCCAATGGGTCAAAGCAGAGGAAAATGAACTATCCAGGTTGGAAGCAGTAAATTTTCCCCTCTGCCACCTTTTTGTTCTATTGAAGCCCCCAGCATATTGGATAGTGCCTACCTGCATTAATGAAGACTGTTTGTTTTATTCAGCCCAATGATTCAAATTATAGTTTCTCCCAGAAACACCCTTAGAGAAATACCCCATAATAATGCTTTACCAATTGCTTAGGTCTCCATTAGTCCATTCAAGTTGACACATAAATCAACCAAAATGTAAATTGCATGATTTTATAAAATCATGTCAGCACCTGAATAAACTTTGCTTCTCTTTGGAATTACTCCTAAATTCCCGCGAATTGTACTTCTCACAAGTTACCATCAGAATAATCAAACTAGCATGGAATATAATAAAAATTCTTCTGTAATATCAAATATTTCACAACGCAAATTTCTAGCAGTGCTTGATGCTAAAAAAGCAAAGAGGAGTGATGGCCCAATCTGTAAACCGCTTAGTGCATACATGAGCACCTGAACTCACTGTTGAAAAGCCCAGTGTGGGTATAGAACCTTATAAATCCCCTGGGACTCACTAGCCAGCTAGGCTAGACTCATCAGCTACTTCCAAGTCAATGAGAGACCCTGTATCCAAAAACAAAGTAGATTGTGCCCAAGGAAAAACATGTGAAGTTGACATCTGCCTTCACACACACAGGCATTTTGTACACACACACACACACACACACACACACACACACACACACACACATACACACACACACATTCACACAGAAGCATCTTGTATACACACACACTCACACACGCATGCTCACATTAAATAAATAAGAAAATAAATAAATGGTTCTAAAACAGATTTTAAGAGACTCTACATTGACAATGAACTGGTTGTTTTAAGGAGAGATCTTGAACTTGCAGCATCCGGAACAGTGAGAAAGCAAGTTCCTGCTTGTAAAACCCATCCAGGCTGTAGCCTATATTAACACAGCAGGTTCCCATATAAAAGTACTCACAAGTAAGGGCATTTTCATTGTTTCAGAGCTGCCATGGTGATTCCCTTCAAGCAAATATTTATTAAAACCTAACACCCTAATGCTTTCAAGTTATAACAGATTAGCATCTCATACTGAGATTTACAATGACTGAGACATGTCTCCTATAATCCAAAATATTAGAGAGCCATTCATAGGTCATAGGGCTGTGCCTTTCCGACACCTGGAATATTGGATTTGCTGCAGCCTGTAATTGTGTTATTACAGACATGGTTATTTTCTATCATGTCAAACAGCAAGATAAAAGGAAAAGAATCTCAGAGTTTGCTTTTCCTTCTGTTTCCATGGACACCGGCTTATAATTTTATACGAAAGTCAAAATCTGTCATTCTCATTAAGTCTGTTCTTTGCCAACAGCCTAGACTAATGCAATAAAATAATTAGGAAGCAACCAAGAAACCACACAAAATGAAGGAAAGGAGGTGAGTCCCTTCCTAAAAGATCTGAACAATTTAGGAAGCAGCTCTGGACTACACCAACGTCTGGAGCTAACTACTGGCTGGAGATAGGAGTGAATGGAAGGCTCCCAGAGCCCTTGCTGAACTTGAGGGTGGTGGTGAATTGGCTAGGCTCTCACCGCGAAACATGGATAAAGTCTGCTTTTAAAATCAGAAACATACAGGCAGTGGTGTCCCACGCCTTTAATCCCACCACTCAGGAGGCAGAGATAGGTGGATCTCTGAGTTTGAAGCCAACCTGGTCTACAGAGTGAGTTCTAAGATAGTCAAGGCTATACAGAAAAACCCTGTCTCAAAGAAAGAAACCAGAAGCAATATAATTAATGTTCCTTTAAACAGTTTCCTAATAGCTGGCACTATATATACCTCCTGCTACCTAGCATACAAATACCTTGACTGTATTAGCTTGATAGTTTCACATATCTTACCTTCAAAACATTTACCACTCCATAAATATTCATAATTATTTTTGGCATAATTGATTTTGCTCCAGTCTGCCATTTTGCTGGTCCTGGGTAAATCATGTCGTATTGTTTACTAAAGTTTATTAAGACCATGCTAGGTATAAAGGACACTGTCAGATTACAGTTGGTAGGGAAAAAATGACTCAAGTGAGCTGTTTTCAAATAGTATATTCAAAATTATAAATAAATTTTTAAAAATCAAAGTTAGAGAAAACTATTGAATGACGAAGAATTCTCAAGAATTTCCTTCACTAATACTATATGCCTCTAGCAAAATTAAGATGATTAATATGTCTTGTAATCATCATCCCCAAAATGTTTGCTATGGAATCAGCCATGCATGAGCTTCTGCATGAGGAACTGCCTGACTGATTATGTTTTATTAGAGCATATTAATTAAACAAAATAATAGGACTCATTATGACATTTGCAAACACACATTTTACATACTTTGGTCATCCTCATTCTCACCCTCATCACTGTCACCTTCACCCATTCTTCTCTCCTGGGTCCTCCCCCCACCTCAGTCACCCCCTTCTACTTTTTTGACCTTCCCCCACCCCTGATTCAATGTGTGAGAGAAGGCGTGTGATAGATGTCTTCCCAAGCCTGACTTATTTCACTTAACATGGTACTCTCCCTTTCTTGAAAACAAAATGATTTCATTCTTTGCGGGTATGAAATAATACCCCATGGTGTATACATGTCACTTTTTTTTTTATCCTTTCCTCCATTAATGGACACCTTCACTGATTCCAAGACTTGGCTACCGTGACTTGTGCCACACTAAATATGAGTGTGGAGGCTGAGTAATCATCTTCTTTTAATATCAAGTAGTTAACTAGTACAGGTTGTGTAGTCTATTTCCAAAATCTCTTTATCTTTATTATATAACAGAACCTAATCAAAGGAGTGAAAAGCATCATATTTGCAGCTGACCCCAGGCAAAAGTTGGAGATTATGTGGCTATGTACACCAAAAAGAAGGAACCTTGTTGCATAATCATGCATTAAAAACTACACCT